GATAAAATTGATTTGACCAAATCCGACCGAGTATTAAGTCTAAAAACGTTAACTGTTTGCTCGACTGCCATTTCTAGGCCTTAGACTGGGTCGTACCTTCAATGATCAAAGAACGCTCTAATGCATCCGAAAGCTCCTCGACACGCTTAGCGAATTCCGTATAATTGTTGTTTTTTACATGTAATGATACAATTTTCCCAGCTACAACTTTCGAGTTGTCTGGCTTCATTCTGTTTCTCAACGCATCTTCGAACTGAATTGACTTTGGTCGGAATTGCTTCACGTGCCTTGCCTTCGAGCTTTGATTTCAAAAATGATATAAAAGTTGTATTTAATTATCGTCAGCAAAATCTTTAATTAAATTAATTGTATCAAGTGCTAGCAAATCTCCGTTGTAATTTTCCCTAATGATTGAGGCCCATAATAAAGGATTTCTTCTGTTCAGGTGTAGCCATGTCTAAAAATTCTTGAAAAAATGTAGAAATATTTGGAGAACTGGTAGCCGGTGACGGCAGGTTGAATACAGTGAGGAGATATTTAAAAGATGGAAGTGACGAGCTTCTTTTAAGACTGAATTGTACCGAAGCTTCTGACTTGGCGTCACTAAACTCTTCTTTTGACTCAGAGTCCGCTAAGTCTGATTGGCAAATTAGCAATAAGCTATCAGGTGGAATCTTAACGCGACAATTCAGTTTAGTAAAGCACTTTGCTAACTGTTCCTTACAACGGGCTAACTCAACTTGAACTTCCTTGAGATTACAGGTATGAGCCGAACTATTGGCAATAACTAGTAGTAAAATGGGCTGTAATAAGCGAATATTTATACTCGTCATAAGTTACAGATGGGTTTTTACATCACAAAGTAAGTTTTGTGAAAATTGCAGATAGAGGGTATTGAATATAAGCCCTCGTTATGCTTTTCTTCAGTAGGTCATCGGCTGAAAATTTGGAATGCAGTTAAAGGAACTTTTTCATGCAGTGGGAATATTGGGTTCTATTCCCATACAATTGCAAAGAGTTTAAGTTGGTTTACAAATTTTGTATTTTCAAAGTTATTGTCGTATCAAAATATTGTTATTTATGTTCATCGGTATATGGTAAAAATAGTAGTTGTATTAACGCTTTGTATTTTTAAATAAAAAAATTATAGGAAAGTGAAATTGAGATAGTCGTTAAAAATTTAGCAAAAACCGTATTAAGTCACTTATATCTAGGTGGATACAATAATCACTTTAGTAGCAACGATTTTGAAATTTGAAAATTTAAAATTTTGAAAAAGTTATAGTTATGTATCTGTTGATATATTTAGGTATGTATGAAGCAAGATATATTTGAAAGTGCTAGAACCAAGAAAAAATTGCCTTTGGGTATATCACCTCATTTAATTCAAGTTTGCATTATCAATATGTATAAAAAGAGAAGGATCAATCACATCTTGAAATATTTATTAAAATTATTGGATAACGAAAATGAATTTTAAAAAGGGGTTGAATCCCTCACGTCTCTTACAGCTAAATAATAAAAATTGATTTGAAAAATGGGTTTAATCCCTTGAATCACTTAAAGTTAAATAATGAAAATGAATTTGAAATATAGGTTTAATACTTTGAATCACTTAAATTTAAATAATGAGAATGAATTTAAAAAATTTTTTTAATCCCTTGAATCACTTACAAGTTAGATAATGAAAATGAGTTTGAAAAACGGGTTTAATCCATTGAATCACTTAATAGTAATAGCTAAATAATGAAAATGATGTTAGAAAAATTCGTTGAATTCCTCAAATTACTTAAAGCTAAATAATGAAAATGATGTTGCAAAAATTGGTTGAATACCTCAAATCACTTAAAGCTAAATAATGAAAATGAATTTGAAAAACGTAGATAAAGAAATCGAAATTTTCCACAAGTGTGTGTCGGTCTAATATGCCACAGTCGCAAAAAATGGTAGCTATTACAAAAAGTTTTATGAAAAATATACATGAGTACATACATCTGTAAAATTTAAAATCTAAACGAACCATATTTTTTAACAGCGTTTATTTTGGTGTCGTCTGGCAACAGACCTTTGGCTGAACATTTATGGCCTAGGAATGTAACTTCCGGCCGAAAAAAATTGCTTTTATTCGGGTTAAGTTTTAGGTTGAAGTTTCGACAAGTGTCGAAAACTTTTGCTAAATTTTTAATGTGATGTGCTTCACTACAGCCTATAACAATAAAGTCAACTACATATAAAAATGCTACGTTGGGTGGAATATCAGAAAAAGCTATACTCATCATTCGCGAGAATGAGTTGGGTGCTATACTTAAACCGAATGGCAATACTTTCCATCGATATGCTCCACGGTCTGTGCTAAAAGAAGTTATATCACGTAAATTTTCATCCAAGGGGATTTGGTGAAATCCAGAAAAAAGATCTAAGGTAGAAAAATATTTAGCTCTGCCAAGATTATCCAAAATATCGTCAACTCGTGCGAGAGGGATTTTATCCGCAATAACTTTTTTCTTGACTGCGCGGAAATCAACGCACATACGATATGCTTTTGACCATTAGTCGATTTTTTAGGAACCAAAATTAAAGGACTATTGTAATCGGAACAACTTCCTTCAATTAAATCGTTATCTAGTTATTTATTAACTTGGCGAGTTATCTCTCCACGTTGGGAATATGGCAGACGATAGTTTTTTACATATACCGGGTCAGTGTCAGTCAACCTAAGTTTCTGTTCATAAAAATTTTTTAATGTCATTTTGTCATTGTCCGGAGTGAAAATGTCGGCATATTTTATGCAAAGGTCAAGTAAATTGCTGTTAGCTTCTGTAGGGATTTGGTTTTTCAAAATATTTGATAATACGTTTGTTCGTGAGTCTTCTGTCTTGGTCTTATTAATTGAATAAACGTGATAGTCAGAAAGTTTTTCCCTCCGAATATTTACATTTTTTACATTCTTTACATGTTTCACGTCATCTGTGGTATTTATGATTTTGATAATTGGGTTACTGATATTATTTAACTATGCATCTTGCTGTGAATACACCGTGTTCAACTTCTTGCGATTCTACAAAAAGCGGATCTGGCGAATGGCCTAAATCGAAAATTCTGTAAACCTTGCATCTGGGTGGTATGATAGAAGTGTCGCTTTCGGTTCCGTGTAGGATTGGTATCGCGACTTTTTCATTGCTTACCCAGAAGGAAATATAATTGCTTGCATAGCTAATAACGCATTTGTTACTTTTTGGAAAATCTTTACCCAATATACCAGCAGATGGTGTGTTAGAGTCATCGTTTGCTACAAGTAAAGTATGTTTAATGAAAAAATCAGTAATCAGTATCGGAAGTGACACCGGTAATGCAAATTATATCTTTCGTATTTATAGAAAATTGTTTATCAATGCTAGAATATTTTATTAGAGAAATTTCAGCTTGCGTGTCGATCAAAAACATACAAAATTCGTTTGAGCCATTAATTTTCAATTCGATAAAGTCGATTGAACCGCCCTCAGTTTTCGCTCCTGAGGGGCGTGGGCGTTTAAAGCGCGCACATTAGCATTATTGCGTGAATTTGGACGTCTATTAGTATTATTGTTGCTGTTATTGTTTCAATTGTTGTAACTTGATGACCGATTACTATTATTGTTGGAATTGTTGCCGTTATGCCTCGCACCGTTATTGTTGTGCCTACTGTTATTACCGTTATTATTGTACCTACTGAAATTAGCATTATTTTGTCTGTAATTATTGTTGTTGTACCTATTAAAATTGTGACCTCTGAAGCAATCCGGAAAAATTATTTGGCCTATTGACTCGGGATCGAAACGCTAACATTTGACGCTCTTTCACTTGATTATTTTGTTCGACTATCATTTTTGCCACTACATCTTTTGAATCACTGAAGGTAGTTGACGATAAAATTGATTTGACCAAATCCGACCGAGTATTAAGTCTAAAAACGTTAACTGTTTGCTCGACTGCCANTTATAGGAAAATGGAATTGAGATAGTCGTTAAAAATTTAGCAAAAACCGTATTAAGTCACTTATATCTAGGTGGATACATTAATCACTTTAGTAGCAACGATTTTGAAATTTTAAAATTTTGAAAAAGTTATACTTATGTATCTGTTGATATATTTACTCAAGTAGCACACTGGTGTATAACTTGGTGTATATTTATGAATTTTGGTACATATGTGTTAAGATTAAAAAAAAATAATAATATTTTGGTGTATTTGTCATCCCGCCAGTACTTCTTCTCAAATCAAAATTCTGCCTTTAACGTTTTGGTACTATTGATTCATTGAGATTAGTACGAAAACTGCACCAGCTCCACTCTTTTTATTTGGTTCACAAATTACTCAACGTTGACAAATGTCATTAAAATTATTCAGTCGTTTTATGTTTACCAACCAACCTTTTTGCGTATTTTTATAAATAAATATATAGCCTCATTGCGAGTGTCGAGTCGAGTGCGAGTCGTATAAATATGAAATATTCCAAGTTCAATTCCTATTTGAAGTGCTACCGTAGAAAGAAAAACTTTTTGAAAAGATTAAATAACTGTGTCAAACCAATCGACAACAACCTGCAAAATGACCGACAACTATTAGGAAAGTGTGGAAGCATCAACTTTTATATTCGAGACGGAAACACTAAAAATTCTTCATTATCCGGAGAGTATAGTATTTCGAAAGAACCAATTATATCAGAGACAAATGATTCAATTTCGCACGATGGTTTGGATGATAATGACGAGGTGGTGGAAAATATATATCGGGAAGTAGAGCCGTCTTCAGTAGACTGCGTCATTGATATGTGAACATCCATATTGACTTCATGTCTAAATTGGCTGATTGGGCTATAAAATACAAAATAGCCCACTCTGCTGTATCTGAGCTACTTGTTTTATTGCGGAGCGAACGTTGCTCCATACACCGCATAACGTGGTAATACAAACAATGGGATCCGGTTCATTCTGGTACTATGGCATTGAAAACNTAATGTGGTAATACAAACAATGGCATCCGGTTCATTCTGGTACTATGGCATTGAAAACTGCTTGCGAAATGCATTTCGTGACTTAAATCAAACAATTCAAGTTCTTCTCAATTTCAATGTTGATGGTTTACCCCTGTTCCGAAGTAACAAGTTTCAGTTTTGGCCAGTTTTAATTGACATAGCCAATATGCATGAAATTAGACCAATGGTTGTAGCAATTTATTTCGGCGATTCGAAACCACCATCCAGCGAAGAGTTTTTAAGATCATATGTTGACGAGATTAATAGTCTAATTTTAAATGGAATTGAGTTTCCAAACGGCTCAAAAATATTGATCAAGATTAATGCGTATATTGCAGACACCCCGGCTCGAGCATTTATTAAATGTGAGTAAAGCTCGAACTCCATAGCATGCGTATACATTCGTGTACGTACATTCCACAGTCAAGTTAGCAGATACATAGCAATAGCAATGTTAATGATATAAATGATATAATACCTAATTGTTTCTGGATTTTACAGGCGTTAAGACACACACCGCATATAACAGTTGTACAAAATGTAACGTTGTAGGAGAATTCGATCGATCGGGAAACCACATGAGCTTTCCAAGGTTAGATTGTCGACGAAGAACTCATTTAGATTTTATAAACAAAGTTGATGAAGATCATCATCTATGGAATTCAAGAATGCGACAGTTTTATCACACCCTTTTGGAGGAAATTGAAGGCATTGACATGATAAAAAATTCCCTATTGCTGATTCGATGCACTTAATTGAATTAGGTATGTTTATTTTAGAAACATATTAGCTCGAAATTGGCATCGATACATTGTCGTTCTGGAAATCAATAGAATATCGAACATTTTTGTTATACCTTGGCCCAGTGATAATGAAAAGTTTTTTACCAACTGAGTTTTATAAACACTTTTGGAATTTAGTTTTAGCAACGACGATATATTCATGCGAACGATATGTACAAAGTCCCGGAGTTCTTGACGTCGCTAGGAATTTGATGAATGAATATGTGGAAGAATTTATATCTCTGTATGGCAACGACTCTATCAGCTCCAATGTCCACAATTTAATACATGTTCATGATGACGTTCTGAAATTTGGATCTTTGCGAAATATTTCTGCATATCCATTTGAGAGTACGCTGTATTGGTTGAAATGTCTTTTAAAAAATGGTTCCAGACCTTTGAGTCAAGTGGCTAAACGTATTATTGAAATGAATAAGTTGAATTCCCGGCCTTCAAAATCAGCCGTATACCCCATTTTAAGCAAACAAATTGTCGCAAGCTCTGAAATGTATGGCAGAGTAGATTTTTCAGCATTCATGCTATCAAATGACCGAAAGAATAAGTGGTTTTTGACCAAAAATAGTGAAATCGTTGAAATGATATACGCGACATCAAACAGCACCACAATAAAGATACATGGAAGAAGCATTCGGCGATATGCCGATTTTAATACCAGTCCCTTCTCATCTCGCCATTTAAATATTTATTCCGCAGCCATTGAAATGGAGATACTGAAGGAATATTCCGCAGATGATATAAAATGTAAACTTGTTTGTTTACATCCATATGATCCGGAATGTAGGCAGAATAACCAGTTTTTTAATGCTAAAAAAGGCGTATTCTTTCCTTTAATTCACACTTTGTAACCCCGTATACATTTTATTCCTTCATTCAAATAAAAAAGACAACACTTAAGTTAAAAACATTCATTTTAATATCTCCGTTTTTATACATACATATGTATTTTGTTAGACACTGAACTGTATCTATTTTAATGGAAAATTCTTAATGATAAATACATAAATACACAGGGTAGGGTTTAGTATACATATCGTCATTTTAAGTACAAAACCTAAGAATGAAAACAAACAACGAAGACGAAAAATGCGTGGAGGTTGAGTGCGATTATATTGGCATTTATCATCAAATATAATAACTGAAACTGAATAAAAATGAAAGTGTTTTGCAACCACGTAGCATCAGCACAGTTCGATTTTTTCTGACCACAAAAGTGCACCCACTTTCCACGCAAATTTACGCCTATTTGCAACCCAAACCAACGCACAAACTTGTTCAAATCACAAAGCACTTCATTTATATCATATATTCGTAATAAATCAAAATTTATAGTTTAAATCGCTGCAGAAAACACATCAAGTCGCTAAAAAATAACTATGAAGAGGTTGAAGACGATGTCAACAAAACCAAAAAACATCAAAAACGCTACGAAAACTTTTTCCCGAAAATCGCCACGTATGCTGCTGACTCTGCCTATAAGCTGGATATCTGAAAAATAAGAAAAAATAGCAATTATCTCTTGATAATATAATAAGAATGTTTGTTTACAAAATTACCTCTTTCCGCAATTCCTGATAATTTCTGTGGGCAATTGACAATTGTCCAAAGAATTCACCAAAAAATGAATATTGAATACACCACACAGGAGCTTTGTTTCTTTACAGATATTTATCACTAGCAAGGCGAATTTGCATAAGATAATGTTATACCATGTTCGGACCGACAACGAAAATACTTTGAAAACGAGTTTTGGGATTGTGTGCTGTAAGCTGTTCGCACCGGCTGTTAGAGTTTTCGTTGACAATTCTTTCATCCTTTGTTTACAGTTTCGCTAAGAAAAAACAAAACCAAAATATTTTTCTTTCATTTTCTTATTATTAGGAACCTTTATCGTTTATTTATATTTTAATTTGGCCAGCCAATTGGCAATAAATCCCAACTAGCATATTAGAGATGATCAAATATGACTTACACTTCGATAAATATATCTAAAAAACAAGTGAAGACACCGATTGGAATGGGTGGAACGTGAGTTTTCAAGTAGTTTTCAGTGAAAACTGGTTTTCGTTTGACAGATTTTACAAGGTTTTAGGTCGAAAACCAGTCTTAGCAACGAAAACAAGTTTTCGATGGCGGTCTGAACATGGTATTAGCCGTAAAGAATAATAGAATAAATTTATCGTGTAAAAATAAACAAAGCCGAAGAGAAGGATGAAAGAAAATGTCAGAAGAGTCAATTATATTAATACTTCATTTTTCTATAGGAAATGTGTTTTAATTGCTTTAAATTGTGAAAATATGATTTGTAATAATTAATAAAGAAAATCTGGAAACGGTGGAAAAGTGTGATGTTAGTGAAAATAGTCGTGAATTTCAGGCATAAGTGCAGAATACGGCCCGTTAAGCTAGCAAGAAACGAAGAAGTGGACGTTGTTCACCCTTTTTTTCTAATTCTAATGGTATACAATTTTTTTGGTGCAAACTTATACTGCAGGTGCTATGGAGTGAGAAAGGGGGAATTTTCTTTTTATTTGATTTTTGTAAACAGAATAAAAATTATAACCACATAACCTGATAACCAGGCAAGTGAGAACAACCACTAAATTTTGTAATTTTTCCCGTTCGTCTTCCTGATACTTATCTGCTACAAAAGTAAAGAAACAAAGCTAGTGTGTGTGTACTTAATACACCACCAGTTTGAATATGAGCCAGTGTTGCCATGGACAAATTTTGTTTCCTACTAAAACTTACTACCAAACACAACCAAAACCTACCAAAATTGTATTTAAGTGTTTAATATATTTTTAATGCCAACAACATTTAGAAAAACCAAAATACAGCTAGTACAATAAAAACAAATTAACTACGTATAGACATTCACCTACCAAAATCCAATATAGCCTACCAACCTACTAAATGGAAAAAACCTACCAGTTTTGGTAGTTAAAGCGCATATTTGGCAACACTGATATGAGCTATTAAACATTCCACAAGTAGTGTTGCCACCAGCATTACCATTTTGGTCAAACTGGTAGTTTTATTTTCCTTCGGTAGACAAAATTGTTTAGGGGTCTTCTGTATTGACTGAGTTCAGACACGGAACTGGTTACTTGTAGGATTGCATTGTACTGTTGTAGCGTAGTGTTCGTTTGTAAAAATTAAAAAAGAAAATTGTCGATTAGCGGTTATAAAAAGTTGCTGATGTTGAAAAGCTCTAATGTGTACTAAATGTTATATGCATCTATTGCATTTTCTTTTACTTTTTAGACATAAGATAATTGATATAAATTGAATTAACCTCAAAGATTTAATTTTTACATAAAGCAAATATGAAACGAAATAAAATATCATGTTGATGATGATACAAAAATTGGTTGTTTGGAAACTGATTTGGTAGGATTTCTGGAACGTAAAAATACCTGCAGTGGCAACATTGGTTGGTATGGTTAATACACCAATGGTGAAATATGCATCAATAAAGCACCCCATACACTTAGTGGGATAGTACATACGAGTACGGACAACAGCGAGAATTTTTTCAACATAACGCCGCATATTTTCGTTCGTAACCGTCAACGAAACATAAAAAAGTTGTGTATAGTAACAAATAGTCAGTACTAATTTGTACTGGAACCTGCAAATTTGTACTGGAAAATTGTATAATTGAAGCAATGGTTTTATTCATAACAACGAAATGTGTCTTAGCTTCATGATATTAACTATTGCAGTTTTAAAATACTATTTGGTGGGCATTTCAAGTTTCCTGAATCAAAATAATACCTGCAAACATAATAACGACGTTCTCGCATCCATCCAAGAATTGAAAAACTCTGTGGAATATCTAGGAAGTGAAGTATTTGCACTACAGGAGCTTGTAAAATCAGGGTCGGTGACTAAATTCATGAACAAGCCACATGAAAAACGTTCCCTAATATCTGACTCGACTACAGAAGAATGGGTAGCATCTGAAGAATATGAAGGTATAACATTAAACCAAAATGAGTATGTACAAAAAGCAACAGACTACATTCTATCAAAACTGGACCACGTTAAAAAAACTAAAAAACAATTCACGCGACGAACACAATTAAAATCAATGCTCTTTGCTGATTCACTTTTAAAAACGTGCACATGGAAAATAGCTGCACCAGGAAAACCTAACCGCTTTTCTTTGCTAAGTGCCATTTTAGTACTATTTGTAGACTTCGTAAACCAAAATGTCGATGAAAAGATAGACTTAATTAGAAGAAAAGCAGAATATGGAAGATCAAAATGCAGAAGAGATCGAGACACAAGTTACAACTAGCATGCCATTGAACGCAAATATTTAAATAATAAATCTGAATAAATTTTCTTTAATTCAACAAATCAGTTTTTTATTTATTTTATATGAAGTTGTGTGCGTTTCTTTCATTGTTCTCAGAAAATTAAATATGCCGAAAAATATGTTTCGGTATATATAGTCATGACAAAAAAAATAGGGATACGACATTTTGATTAGTTTTTGTTTTTGTTTGATTAATGATTATTATAGTTTTTATTCAAAAAATACAGCTTATTATCTAACAAAAACCATATAAGTCGGAATTTGAAACTTTGTAGAAAAATTATAAAAATTCAAAAAGATTTTACAACAACGACAAACTTTTTATTACGAATGTACAAGTAGCTAAAAATGAACGTTGATTTTTTTAGAACTTTTATGTCGGATTTACTTCCATATAACGAATAAACACAATCTATTTTTATATGGAAGAAAACCGCTACACGGTCAGCAAAAAATATCAAAAATCAACGCCTTTCTTAGTTACTTGTTTTTGTAAAATCTTGTTGAAAAAAGATTTTTGTTAGATAATGAGCTGTATTTTTATAAAAAACAACAAACATTAAGTAAACGAAAGAACAAGAGCAAAGCTTGTCAAAATTTCGTGTCCCTATTATTTTTCAAAATACTGTATTTCCCAACTGTGCATTGTTCGTCTTTTTTAATTGACAAAGTACATTTTTTATACCAAATTCTCAAATTGAATGGTGTAAATTGTGAATATTTCTAAGTCTAAGGCAAAATAAATATACCGTTCTTTTGGCTTGGTAAATATTTTGTACCAAACTCAAGAATCAGTGTAAGTTTTCGACGACGACCATATTTTCAAAGTATTATGAAGGTAAGGCTATGTTTACAACCTAGAGTAATGGCGTTGCGCGATGCGATGGATATCGCTCGATCAAAATTAGGCGTGTATTATTTGACAAGAAATTTAAGCTATTAGCTTATTTTGTGTGGAAGTCGTAGCCAATATAGTGACTCCTTCGCCAGCATAATCGCTATCGATTAAAAAGCAGAAAGTGTTTAAAGTGTAGCAAAATTATACACGATTAAATATTAGGTTTTTTCCACACGAGCCCGCGGCTACCCGCGGGTGCCCAAAATGTCCAGAAAGCTTTCCTCACTCTAGAAAAATGGGTAATAGAGAGCGCATACCTTCCACTTTTGGATCGTAAATGTCTTCTTCTTCGTGCCCGAAACAGCCCGGACTTTTTTTCCGGGCAGAAATGTGCAAGAAGTCAATTTTAAATAACAGCTGTTGTTTGTTTACATCCGATAGCAAATTTTGTAAAATACAGAAATGGAAAATAGCACTAAAGGTTCAGAAACGTAGGTATCTGCTAATTTTATTAGCTACATATATAAGATAAATAAATATAAAATCATTGTTTACAACTGATTTCATGATTCCGGGCACGAAAAGTAGTTTTTTGCGTTCCTCACGCTCTGGGCACTTTTGGCACGGTTTGACACATTTTTGACACTTGTGAGAGAGTAACTTAATTTTACGCTCTAATTACTGAAACAGCCCGGAAAGCGTATGGAACAAACCTATTTATAATAGGGAAGTTCACGGTTTTAGGTGTAAAGTTGGCAAATGCTATTCATCGTGAACTGCCCTATTATAACTAGTTAATCGTGTATGATTTTGCTAAACTTAAAACACTTAGGGAGACTTTTTATTTGTTTCTATAACCTTTTGACAATTCATGCTGAAACCTAAGCATATTGTATTGTATGTAATAGCAGTAGAAGAGCTGTTTTGATTTATTATGTACACATGTACATATATGTATGTATGGCTTTAAATATGAGAAAAGCTATTCACTTTACAAAAGGCATATTTTTCATTTGCTTTCGGAGCGATAAACACGAACGACTGTGTTAATGATGGCTAGTAGCGATTTTTATGTATTCTCGTTACGCTAATACGCTATGTTGTACGCTTAGCCTAATCCTGAAACTCGGCTGGTCGCCATATTAAAGCTGTATGACTACTATTTAGGTAATTAACAATTTCATTATGTACATTGGCTCAACTATGCCACTTTATGGATATTTTCGACCCTGTTTTAAACAGCGCATCTCTTAGAAAATGTAAAATGGCCAAAAAATCACTACTTTCAAAATATAACTTTTTCCAGATTTATTTAAAATCTTCAAATCCTCATAAATTTTGAGGCGCTCGATTTTTAGAGGGGGTAGGACCGAAATTCACTCGACAGAATGTACCTCGTTTTTAAATTAGGAACTCACATTCATATATATTCGCGATTTTCATGTCTGCATATTATGAATACTGAGATTTATAAAAATAATTCTAAGTTGTGCAGATTAAAAAAGAGCTTCGGTGTAAATTTTATGTCTGAGTTAATTTTAAATTTGATTATTAGTAAATTTTATTCCTCGAATCATTTCGTACTCTTCACACTCATGGGAATATATTTATGCTAGAATATGATGTAAATGATTTACCATTATGGTGTATGATTTGAGCCAATTATGAGTACGTATTTTACACCAACGGAGTTTATTTTATGTTCTAGAAACAAGAAAACTTGTATACCACTGGCATAATATATATACCGAAAATCAGTAAAAAAAAATTACGGTAGGTGTAAATAATACACGAAAAAGCGGTATAACCTTTACACTGAATCGAAATAAACTGTTCAAAAACTGCGCCTAGAAATGGCATAT